TTGGACCAAGGGCAACAAAGTCATCCGAAACCACAAGTTGAACTGGAAGCGAGGTCTTCCTCACCTCTCCCTTGGCCAAGGAGGTCAGTAGCTTCAAGTTGTCCCTGGAACATTCCTGAAAGCATTTTTGGGAAGAGCAATGTTTTGAGAAGTCCAAAGAGAGTTCTCTTCATGTGCTCAGCTCACCTTCAGTTCTCGAAGCTCTGTTGCAAGCACACCCATTTGGGTCTTTATGGATCGGACCACGAGACCAACTGCGACCTGAAGGTTGAAGACTGGTTATCGTGCATCAGTGTGAAATGAAAAACCAGAACTATATAGCAGCTTCTTGCTGCTAGTAGTAATGCCAGGAGCCCCTAGTAGCGTCCTGGCTCCTAGTAGCGAGGCCAGGAGCCCCTGGTAGCTTCTTTGCTCCTAGTAGCGATGCCCTTTGTTCCTAGTAGCTTCTTGCTGCTAGTAGTAATGCCAGGAGCCCCTAGTAGCGCCTTGGCTCCTAGTAGCGAGGCCAGGAGCCCCTAGTAGCTTCTTTGCTCCTAGTAGCGATGCCCTTTGTTCCTAGTAGCTTCTTGCTGCTAGTAGTAATGCCAGGAGCTACTAGTCGCAATCAAGAATGAAATGAACAACCAGGGATTTTGGATCCGTCTCTGAGACTCCCAGCAATGTCGCTTCTGCGAGGTTCACCACGAATTCTTTGAATACCTGAATTGCTGTGAATGGAAGCTATTCGGGAATCGATTTGCAAAGGTTCAGAAAAAGCATGAAAAACAATCGTGAGTCTTGCTGGCACATGACCAGCCAGAGCAGTATCATGCATGCGTTGATCATGTTTCCTCTGCAAGTCTCAACGTCGCCTTGTACAATTTCACGAACACTCACAGCCTGCATAGCAACTCATCGTCGTTTTGCAACGCACCCAGCTGACTTTTGAACCTTGCGGTTCTCAGGATCCAGGATTGTGCAAAGGAAGCCATGGTCCTGCAAGGAACGGCCACACTTAGGTCTTTGAATATTTCTTCGACACGCCTCCCCGCGCAAGTCACAAAGCCGGGTCCTCCCGACTAACATCGAGTTCATCGAGGGCCTTCGCTGCATACTCGTCCTCGCAATTCTGTCCCGAGTTCACAGTCTGACGATGTCCACAAGGCCAAAAACCGTCGAGTCTCATGTAAGCACCAGAAATCATTTCCTCTCCTTCACGAGTGCATGGAACTCCTTTGGAGAGAGTGAAACTTCTAACAGGCCTGCGGCGATCGGAGGACTAGTACGCCCCTTGAGAAGCATGTCTTGGTTGAACAAAGCCGCGTTGGGCTTAGACCCGCTGAAAATGTGCAGTTGTTGCATCTGCATCCAAGCTGCTTTCAACATCCTCAGAGAGCTCGCCATCCCATTGGGGATCCTAAGATGCCACAAGTGCCAAATCCTGGTTTTTGCAAGTGCTTTCGCAAGGAGAACTCAGCCTTAGAAACCTTTGCATTTAAAGTTGAGGCAACATCAGCAGGGCTGTGACATGCACCCCCCTCTCAAGAACCTTCATGTTCACAGCAATGCTCTCTCGCAAAGTGTCACGAAGAGACCTTGAGATGCCAATGCTGCTGTGCGGCAACAAGTCGCCAGACCACACGGAGGAGCTTTGCGATCCTGAGTTGTAAATTACAGCCATCTTTGTTTGGACACAAAAATGGCTAAATCCGAATGTCTCGATTCATACATTTCAACACTAGGAGAGCTACCTCAAACACTGCCCCTGATATATAATTTGGTTGTTCATCCAAAACTGGCACTTAATCGACGGTGAAAAGGATGAAGCAAAAGATAAAGCAGGCCGTGTTGCTTGCTGCATGCTGCTGGAATTCTTCTAAGACTCTAAGCACCAATTCAACCAGGGACGACCAATGTAAAATTTGACGAGATATGTAAAGAAGACCAGGGGTGTGGCAGGGCCAGCGGTAAAGATGATACACTCCTGCTGATGCAAATTTGTAGTTTCACAATTGATCCTGTTGGCGCATGGTGTTTGCGTGGAAAACAACTGATTCAGAGTTGCGTGATTTGGAGATCACGCATGCAAGATCATGCAAGTAGGCAAAGGCTATGCACAGCTACTGGTAACAAGGGCATCGCTACTAGTAACAAGGGCTTTACTAGTAGTAGCAAGCAAGCAAAGAGTAAGCAAAGATAAGCTATGCGGCTATGCCGCTTTTTTATGCGGCTTTGTGAGAAACCACATCCGAAGGCGGGGGCCTCACCAATTCCGTCCGAAGCGGGTCTTCGCCAGCCCAGGCTCCGTGTGGCCCAAAGAGATTCATCCATTAATCGCTTTGACTGTTCTGTCTTCTCCTCTTTGTGCGCAGCCTCAATGCACAATCCTCTGACCCTGACTCGGATGAAACAACGGAGACTCTGAGATATGCTGAGAATGGTGCCACCATCATCTTTTCTATGAAAATCGAGGTGATGACCTTGAGACCGGTGGCCAGTGAGAGGCATGACAAACCGCTTCTCTTCCCACGAATTCTGTCCTTGTTTCCTCAGTTTCCAACATTGAAGAGGCCTCATACAGTGAATGTGCCATTCCACTCTGCGGTGGACAGTGTTCAAGAAACCCAAGACGCACCTAGTATGACGAAACTGATAAAGCATCCTGGGGCAAGCAGTGACAGCGAAAGACCAACTGCGCAAAGAATGCGCAAACTATCCTTACTGGGCATCAATTCCCTGGTAGAACCTTTCGAATATTTTGAAGGGAAGCACCCTTACAAGAATAGATTCTCAAATCAATTGCATCTAGAACACCTGGAACACATTGAAAGCATCAGCATGACAGCCAAGCGTCCCCAAGCCGCAACAAGTCCGACCTCATACAAGCTTGCGCTACGCAAGGGATGCGATGTGAGGAGAGGGTATCATCATAAGAAATGGCCGAACTCTTTGTAGACAGCAAAAGCAGCAAATTGCAGCAGGCAATGCCACCAAACAACTGCAGCCAAGGTACTCCGTGGAAATCATTGATGTATTCAAAAATAGGATACCCCGTATTGGTTGTACCTGTCCACTTCAATGTAACTGTCCAACAAAAACAAAGAAACCGCACGGTGAGTGATGAGGTGCAGCTGAGTGACATTCTCCAAAAGCACAGCGGAAAAGTGTTAGAGTCTCGGTTCCCAGGTTGAACGGAGATTGAGATACTGACTTGAGATTGAGAGTCTTGGTCATCCGATATCGGAAGGCATCTGAGGACAAGGCAGATCTGGGCACTGAGTCAAAGTACTTTCCGGTTGTCTGCCAGACGTCACTGTTACATTATCATCAAAAGTCTTGCACCACCAAAGCGCGAATTTGGAAGCATCTCGGGTCCTCGTACTGCAGGTCACTTCTGCCGACGGTCTCTCGGAAGACTGCAGACACGATCACAATAGACATCAAACAAAAGCCGCTCTAAACACCACTTCCGTCGCATCACTGTCTTGCTGCTGCTTGCTCAAAAGTGTCTGCACTTCGCCTATGGCCATCACCTCAGGTGCAGCTGCTGTGCTAGCATGTTTCTATTGGCCTCAACTATTCCAAGTACTTGTGCGCAAATGAGTTGAATGTGGCAACACCCTGTGCTCTCTCTGCAGCCAAAGCCACATAGACCGTGAGGATCAACAGTATTGAGCCCCACAGGATCGTGGTTAAAGAACCTGCAAAGACTGGGAAAAGGAAGAACCTGCCAAAACTCATCATGATACAACACCAAGTTTCAACCTTTGTCATCTGACAACATCCTTGCCTGCAATGGCGCTAGTCATTCGCACCAAGTTCTGCAAGGGTGAAACAGCAAGGCAACCATTCTTATTCAACAAGACGTGGTGGTATCGAATGGCAAGCGTTGTCACATTTAGGCAACCGCTGTTCACGATCCTGTGAGAAGGAGACCCGGAGGACGCGACAAATGCGACTGAGCCGCGCCACCCTGCCATCAAATCTTCCACTCAAAGGCCCAAAATGGATGATGAAAATCCGTTAGGTAGGAGAGCTTGGATTGCTGAGTTGTAGAAATGGGAACGACCCAATCAAGTAGGCGAAGAAACTTAAGCAAACCTCATAAGCTAAGCTAGCTAAGCAAGAATAACAAATAGGCAAGAATATGTATCAATCTTATCTGTTCTTTCTACTTGTACGGGCCTTGGACATTGAAAACTGCTGACATGCAAACGCGTTGCATTCTAAAGCAACCTTGTCTAAGCCTCTAAAGCTGCACACCAATGTGAGTGACAACAATGTGAGTGCCCCCTGTGCACTCGCCTGACCACCCGTGCGAGCGCAAAGGCATCACTTGCTGTGTCCACGGATGCAATCCACATGACCTTGGCAAACAGAGAGCGCTTCTGAACTTTGCAAACACATCCATAAACACCTTCTTGACTCAGCTCGAAGCAGTTTGAACAAGATCCTTGGAAGGCAAGACCAGAACTTCGATTACTGCCAAAGTACCCTAACATGACTAGAACAATTTGACTTCAGCTCTGCATTAGATCCACAATTTACAACTAACTATACACATGTGCGGTACGCAAGACTTCCAAGTTACTGCCTGTCTGTACAAGCCAAGAGCCCTTTCAATCTACGGCCACCCCCTTTATAAGAAACTGAGACATTACTCGCTTACAGAGCGTGCATCCCTCATCAAGAAGAGAAGGCAATCAGCCTGTCCACGCGAGGCTTCCCACAATTTTCACTTGCAATCTCTGGGGCTGCATTGATTCAGGCTTGGGGTTTTGGAAAATTATGCCTAATGTGCCGAGTGGGCCTTGTTTGGGCAGTATCATTGGTTTCATGCGGCCAAGAAGGCCTTAAGTTCTGCCTGAGCTTATCAACTTGCGGGAGCCACGGATATTGAACGAAACAAGAGGCGAGGTCCGATCTAGAATTTGTGGTGGTGCATTCACTAGTTTAGGCACCCAGGGCACACCACGTTTCATCAAAACGTCTCCCATCCATAGGTACCTCCAATCTGCGACTCAAAGGAAGTAATTATACAATAAAGTTACAAGGCATTCATGTAGATGCTTCTCCGAGGGGACCTTCAAATGCCAAGCAGCAAAGAAGACCAGCCCACAATCTAGCCAGTGCCATTGATCTCCTTGAAACTGTATGGTGCATGGCCAATCGGATCGTTAGCAGGATTTGTGCTTCAGCCATCAAAAAAGCCGGGAGCAAGAAAGCACGGGAACACCAATGCAGCAAGAATCTGAAGTAGACGAAGAAGCCCTGGATGATCATCTTTGCAATCATCTCACTCAAAAAGCCCAATGTGAAGCATACCTTGGAATCCTTGACCTCCCCACCTTATGGTCTAAGGTGGGTTAGATTCCGTTGCACTTGAAATCCACTCACTTGTCTGCACTGCTACTAAATTCACTGCAAGGCTGCAAGACCATCAACATTCTAGATTCTAGCTTGAGCAAGCCCTCAAGCCAAATCAAGCCAAAACAAGGACCCACTTTTGGGCAAGACACGTCCAGCCATTGCCAGCCTCAAGCAGGCTGACACACGCCCGTGTTCCATAGACTTGATACTGCCCTAAGCACAGCGAAGGTTTGATGATTTGTGACCTGATACCTGAGTCTGCGCAACCATATTCCTCCCACTTCACCGTCCAAATCCCTCGCTTACTCAAACTCCCATGGCGTCACGCAAGCGGAGTGAATCCAAAACGCCGATGCCACCGCCAGGTGCTCAAGATCGACCCCCCGCCTACCCAGCCAACATCATCTGCGCTGAGACCAATGACTACTGTGTTGGCAATGACCAAGGCACCTGCTTGGCTTCGTTCCATGTCCCAAGAATTCTGCACACGAAAGACATGGTGGATCGTTCATGCTGCATCTGTTTGTTCTTTGGACGGAACTTAAGAGTCAAATCAATATAGAATCAAGTCAAGGCACCGGTCAAGGCATCAATGAGCGCCCCTTTCTGGGAGGCAGTCATGGTCTTCACTTTCTCCCGCCAGGTCATATGCCCTCGGTCTCCAGCAAAAGCTCTACAAAAGAGCTATTGCATCTTGCCAACAATCTTACCTTCTATCCTCTATAGCCTCACTGGAGAACCCTTCACTGAATTGCACACAGGCCCGGACGGTATTTGAATCCTGTGTTCTCCTCGGGGAGAGTGAGTGAATTTAAAGAGATCCAAAGAGTATCCTCTCCAAGGTCTTGGTGCACTTCTCCAAAGCTGCACATCACTCCATCACTCAGATTGCTTCGCCTATATACTTTCTACATCTTTCTACCTTTCAGACTTTGCCCACGGATGATCAACTTTTGGCCGAAGGCTTGTGAGGACGGAAACATACAGCTATTCCATGGAGTTGACGTATTCCGAGTAGTGATCGATGGTACCATCTCCGGAAACTAACAGAGCGGATGCCTCGTATTCAGCTTTCAGCATCAAATCCGTAAGCTCATCCTGCCAAGTCGAAATCTATGCTGACTCAAACCATCAGTGCTATGCAAATTGTGTTGTTGAAGCATCTTCCTTGTAGCTCTTGTGTGGAATGAACTCGAGGTTCGCATCGACTGAAGCTGAACAAAATCATCCAACGTCGAAAGGGGAAAGAGGCCACTCTCTACTACCCCCTGAGTCAAGATCCGGTCTCCACATATTTTGCTTCCACCTTCCAAAGAAAGATACGCTCCAGACTTACATCAAAACCACTCTTTGCACGCTGTCTCGCACCTTCTTCAGTTCTTGGTCGAGGTTGTATTGAACCTCGATTGCATTGCTCACGAAGCACCTGCTTCCTTTTTTTTCTATGTGTTTCTCAAATTTCCCAACAGGCCTGCTCGTATTGCACGGAATCTGCATCCTACACTATGAGTTGGCCAAAGCATGCAAAGTTCACAGCAAGGACGTTTCAGTCTTCATCACTCCATGTCCCTGTCTCGCTCCTCGTCCATGCTGTCTGCAGGTGGACGAGCAGATATTGCGCCTCTTGGGGGTCCTTCAGGCTGCTTTACACTCTCTGGTCATGACTACCGCATTGCCTGAGCATCATGAAAACAACATCTTCTGTACAAGCTTGACACAACAAATGCCCGCACCGTCCAATGAGCCATGCCTTAGTCCCCGTCGCTTTCCTCTCTTCGCAGCATCACCAAGCAGGCCGAATGAATCTCTTTAAGGTAGGCACAGTGTTGCTCGACCTCGCCCAAGCGCGAGCGAGTTGTCCTGCGAATCTTGGAGAAAGTTTGGGAAGGCTGCTTGTCTGTACTGCTGTCTACAAGGTGCATCAGCGTCTCTACAAGGTGCTTGTCCTTCAAGACTGACACCGCCTCACAAAGCTTCGACCGTGTCGCTTCGAGGCTTTCAGCACGGCAAGGAAAAACGCATTATATACGCATTAGAGCATTAGTCTCAAAAGCGTACACCCAATAACACGCGTGAATACTCAATAACACCACATATATGAATCTATACAATCCTCACCTTTCCGCATTGTCATTCCTTGTTCCATGACGGTCAAAACTTTGATAATTGATCCAATTAACAGCATTCCCCGATGGTCCGTTTTGAAGCAATTGTAAAAAAACAGAATCAGCTGCCATGTCTCCCTTACGGCCGGGCAATCAAATGCATCGTGTGTAACGTTGCAGGTGTCGGTATCCACAATGGCGCATGTCTCGCAACAGCCACCTCCTGCACGTGGTTCTGCGAAGCCAGAACTGCATCCAGCTGGCTGCCTCAACTGATTGTCATGAGTCCAATGAAACGCGTCTACCTTGTCCTTTGGATGAACAGCAGGCAAGTATTTACTTTGAGTTTCTCCGTTCTAAAACACCAAGACTCTTGCCAAAAGAAGTTTAGAGGGACTTCCGTGTTACGAACATTTACATCACTCATCAAACACCACTCATCATACACCACTCATCATACACCACTCATCATACACCACTTATCAGTACACCACTCATCATTACACCACTCATCATACACCACTCATCATACACCACTCATCATACACCACTCATCATACACCACTCATCATACACCTCTGATCATCCAGTTATCTCTAGTTTCAAGAGCTCTAGCTCCAGGTAGCTCTGGTTTCAATAGCTCTAGCTCCAGCTAGCTCTAGTTTCAATAGGTCTACTTCCAGTTGGCTCTACTTTCAATAGCTCTAGCTCCAATTGTAGTTTCAATGGCTCTACCTCCAGTTAGCTCCAGTTTCAACAGCTCTAGCGCCAGTTTACGTGGCAGGCACAGCACTTTGTGAACCTCCATGTGCAGATTTCGTGGCAGGCGCAGCACTTTGTGAACCTCCATGCGCAGATTGCGTCGCAGGCGCAGTACTTTGTGAACCTCCATGTGCAGATTTCGTGGCAGGCACAGCACTTTGTGAACCTCCATGCTTCTCCGAACCTCGACGGGGAAGCTCCGCGGAACGACGGTTGCGAGACGGTCTCGGGTCATGGTCGGATCATTCTCGGATCATGGTCGGAATCGTCCCTCCATTGTGATTAGAGTTTTCAATTGTTTCTTGAAGTGCAGATTTCGTGGCAGGCACAGCACTTTGTGAACCTCCATGTGCAGATTTCGTGGCAGGCGCAGCGCTTGTGAACCTCCATGCGCAGATTTCGTGGCAGGCACAGCACTTTTTGAACCTCCATGCTTCTCCGAACCTCGACGGGGAAGCTCCGGGGAACGGTTGCAAGACGGTCTCGGGTCATGGTCGGATCATTCTCGGATCATGTTCGGAATCGTCCCTCCATTGCGGTTTGAGTTTTCTCACTTGTTTCTTGAAGCGCAGAACCTCCATGCGCAGGCACAGCACTTTGCGAACCTCCATGCGCAGATTTCGTGGCAGGCGCAGCACTTTGTGAACCTCCACGCGCAGATTGCGTGGCAGGCGCAGTACTTTGTGAACCTCCATGCGCAGATTTCGTGGCAGGCGCAGCACATTGTGAACCTCCATGCTTCTCCGAACCTCGACGGGGAAGCTCCGCGGAACGACGGTTGCGAGACGGTCTCGGGTCATGGTCGGATCATTCTCGGGTCATGCTTGGAATCGTCCCTCCATTGTGGTTAGAGTTTTCACTTGTTTCTTGAAGCGCAGAACCTCCATGCGCAGATTTCGTGGCAGGCACAGCACTTTGCGAACCTCCATGCGCAGATTTCGTGGCACGCGCAGCACTTTGTGAACCTCCATGCGCAGATTTCGTGGCAGGCACAGCACTCTGTGAGCCTCCATGCGCAGATTTCGTGGCAGGCACAGCACTTTGTGAACCTCAATGCGCAGATTTCATGGCAGGCACAGCACTTTGTGAACCTCCATGCGCAGATTTCGTGGCACTTTGTGAACCTCCATGCGCAGATTTCGTGGCAGGCACAGCATCTGTGGAGCTCGAAGCTGAGAACTGGCGACTTTGTAGTACAACTTTAGTACGCGGAGTATGTGCGGAGCTGGAAGATGAGAACTGGCGACTTTGTTTTACAACTTGAGTACGCGGAGTATCTGGGGAGCTGGAAGATGAGAACTGGCGACTTTCTAGTACAACTTTAGTACGCGGAGTATCTGGGGAGCTGGAAGATGAGAACTGGCGACTTTCTAGTACAACTTTAGTACGCGGAGCAATCTGTGTAGCTGGAAGCTGAGAATGGGTGACTTTGCAGTACAACTTTAGTACGCGGAGTGTCTGGGGAGCTGGAAGATGAGAACTGGCGACTTTGTAGTACAACTTTAGTACGCGGAGTATCTGAGAACTGGCGACTTTGTAGTACAACTTTAGTACGAGGAGCAATCTGTGGAGCTGGAAGCTGAGAACTGGCGACTTTGTAGTGCAACTTTAGTACGCGGAGTATCTGGCGAGCTGGAAGATGAGAACCGGCAACTTTCTAGTACAACTTCAAGTACGCGGAGCAATCTGTGGAGCTGGAAGATGAGAACTGGCGACTTTGTAGT